TATGCTGGAGAGGGTTTGGGGGCTTCTATCCCAGTCTGCTTAGGCTTAGGGCCTGGGGAGGCAGCACGGGAGGGTGCAGAGGAGGGTAGGGAGGGAGAAGCCCCTAATGACCTACTCCCTCCAAGCTGGGTGTTCCCCTTCGAGGCTCCCCGACCCCTCAATATTCCACAACTGGGGGCCGCCTCTAACACCTGCACTTCTGAGAGACACTTCAGACATAAACTAATGCAATAATGAAAATCAAAATTCCACATCCGTGGAAGAAGCCACACATAACACATTCACCATATGTGCCTCGTGGGTGGCCAAAATTTGCTCAGCTGTATTTTAGCTTTTCTAAAGGGGTTTCATATCCTAATAAAAGCTATCATCTCTCCAACTAATTGGGCTGGTTATACAGAAATTAGTTATGCTTTAGCCAGCTTTTCCTAATATAAGTTGATTTCACTTAGTTCGGCCCATTTACCTAGCTAACGTGTCACTGGTCAGGTCAAAGTCATTTGTTTAGCTGGCATATAACCATCTGCACATCACTCAACAGATGCACCCGAGCCCAGGAAAGCCATTTCTGAGCCTGTGACACAGACTACCAAGACTGGATCTACACAAATCTGTCCTCCTTCAAAAACAAACCATCTGCAGCTCATATGGGAATGGTACTATACATTGGCTGTCTTCTGTATAGATGGGAAACTCCAAGCAGCAACCACCAAAGCCCCAAGTGAGGAAAACACAGGGCTAAGGAGATTTATCTCTTGCATCCAACAGCTACTCTTTGCATAAATTTGCATTTTAAAATCTTAAATCTTCTATTTTTAGAAATGTTGGTCCCAGGGCTCGGCAGAGTCTGGCTGGCAGCACGGTGGACTCCAGCATGCAGTCTCAGGACTGAGACACCTGTTGCCGTGCAAAGTGACCAAAAGACCTGATGGGTGCACACAGCGAAAACATCCCTGACACCTTGCTGCACCGCAGTGGCAGCCTGCGCTCCCTTAACATCCCAGTGATTAAATCCTCTGGGCTCCAAAGGTCCATAAAGAAAATCTATTGCAAAGATACAACTGACTGCAAAGATTTACTAAAGCTCGCTTCAACTGTTCCCCAGAACAGAACAATATAATTGTCAAAGCAGCATATTGCTAATCACATTTTATTGTTAACTTTTGCCACTGAAATTGCTCTTCAATTGTTTGTTTTGGAAGAGACACATAAAATATCATGACAGTGAGATTTCAGCACATATTGGAAAATCTGCCATGAATAAAGATTTTTCCCAATAAAACAGAATCTGCCTACGTGACTTGGCATAAAAATAATTTACTAAAATAGACAAGACATAAACCCTGACATAAAATGGGAGATTACAGGTATAGCAACATTCAAAGGCTGATGCATCCCAAGTCACTTTTAAGGCACATTTTAAAGCAATTTCTATGCCTTGGAAAAAGACAAAATAGAAGAAAGAATGTCCTTCGGACGAGACCCAGTGAATACCCCCACCTGGCCAGCGCAGCTTCCACTGACCAGTCCCCCACTCCTCACAGGGCCTGTGCTGCCCAGGGCCACGCAGATGTGGAGGCAGATGGGCAGTCAGGGCAGCGGCACCCAACTCCCGACAGCCAGGCTGAGGACGCAACCCACTCTCCCTGCTGTTCCCCTTGATGGTGGACCCACTCATCTTCACGGCTGACTTGTCAACTGAGAAAGATGTCGCCCATTAAACCAAGACACAGCTTCTCCTTACTCAGAAATTTTATTTTCTTTTTATTGAAAGAGCTCATTTAGCCTCTTCCAGACACAGGTTTTTTATAAGCTGTCAATCTTGGGTGTTTATGGATGAGGAGGCTGTGGGAAGGTGACGGATGAACACACCCAGGCTCGAAGGTAACATGCCTGTGACCTAGGACCGATCCTCCTACGAACCCCTCCCCAAGGCTGCTTGGTCGGCCTCCTGGGTGCTTTTACCTCCTGCAACACAGGGGCCCAGAGAGACTTCTCAAGCAGAGGAAACTATCTGATTTCGAGGGGCTTAAATTGTTTGCAAAGCCAAAACAAAAAAAAAAGCCTGGAAGTAACCAGCATCTAAGCCATGTATGATTTCATACCAAACTGCCTGAGCCTTACGGCCATTGGCTTCTCCATGCTCCCTGGACATGGGCGCACCCTGCACTCAGTACCCTGCTGTGGACCAAGCCTTCCCCAGCCCTTCACTCTCTGCAGTGCCTGCCCTTCCTAAGACAGCTCCTGCTGACCCTCTGGCCCTGGCCCAGGTCGCATCCAGGAGGCTGCCCTCCTCCCACCCTGCAGAGCCACGTGCCCTCCCTGGCCCCATCCTGCACGACAGTTCCTGCCCAGCCGAGCTCCCCACAGCGCCCTGCAGGGTGAACCGGCTGGTCACACAGAGGACAGCCCTGCACCCCAGCAGTGCGAGTCCGGAGCACTTCTCCTGCCTCAAACTATCTGCAGTTACTTTCCGCTGCTATCATCAGTTCAAACCACCTTTGAAGCTTAGTTTCTTAACGAAGAGACTAGAAGATGCACCGCTGATATAAGTGCACTGTGGGAGGAACTACAGGAAAATGAGGGAAGCCCCAGCCCTTCCGGCAGCCTGCCAGGGCCAACATGAGCAGCATGGCTGAGAGTAGGGGGGACCCCAGCACACCGCGGCACCCTGACCGGGCTCAGCGAGCCGAGCCGGCAGCAGGGCAAGCTGAAGGACGGGCTGTGTTCCTTGACTCCAGGACCTGCTGGCTCTAATAGGCACCATTATTTCATCAAGCACTAAGAAAGAAAAATGTCACCAATTAAACTATGACATGGTTGCTCCTCACACAGAAATTTTATTTTCTTTTTATTGAAAGAGCTCTTTTAGACTTATCCAGACACAGTTTTTTTTTTTTTTATAATCACCTTCGGGCATTTATAAAAAAGAACATAAAAGTGAAATAAATTGGTTAAGGCAATGACAACCAGGTCACCTGGCTGAAAGCAAATGTAAAATGCCATTGATTTGGAAAGCAGACCTTGGTTTTAGAAATGTTACAATCTGAGAATCGTGTGATTCACAGAATCAATAAAACTATTATGCGTATCTCGGTATCAAAAAGTTTAAAAGGACAAGGTAACAGTTCACAGGGTTCCTGCTGCAACAACACTGCATTGATTAAAAAATATATTTATGTGGAGGAAAAAAACCTCAGAATATCTAACTTAAGACAGACAAAAATACAACAGACCTTTAAGAAGCTCCTCGAGGACATAAGTGCCCCCAAGAGGCAGGGACTCAATTGCGTCCACCCTTTGCTGTTGCAGCAGGATCTCTTTTTAAAATAACACCCAGCAGAACCCCTGAGCATGGTGCTGCGCAGGTCAGGACAAAAGCCCCAGCCTGGATGCACCAGACCACAGGGCCCAGGCCTGGTTCAACTCCACTTGGCCGCTGACCCAACGCGGCAGCATGGTCGTCGGGCAGCCGTCATCAGGTGACAGACACGCACTCACTCAGTGCTGGAACTACCAAGACAATTGTGCAGCCTGCACAAAGAGATGCTCTGTGCAGTGGCTTCCAGCCTCGGGAGGACAGCCAGAAGCTGTAGGCCTCTGCGGTCAGTCCCCAAAGGGAGGCGAGCAGATGCACCCAGACCTCAGGGACAGGAGGGACTACACCTCACATCGAGGCCCTTGCACATGCGTCACACTGCACGCGCGTCACACACAGTTTCCTTTCACAGACCAACTCACGTGGCCCCTCCACAGTCTGTGACATTGGCTACCTCCATCCCTCAAAGCAAAACCAACTCCACAACACGACAGCAAGAAGCGCACAGTTCCTAAGCACCCCCACTCCCGCTCCTGGTCGCTGCATTTTCCTCTCTCTCTGCTGCCTCTCCAGATCCTGCCTGGAAACTCAGCAGAGCGCTCCTCAAGCTCCAGTCCAGGCTCTGCCCCCAGGCTCCCTGCCGTGTGGTACCTCAGCATTGTGTTCTGCACGCACTCTGCGTCCCCTCCAAACCCAGCTGCAGCTGAGCTCAGTACAGGGGTGAGGTCTTTGAGGGACCAGAGCCTGCTCACCCTTCCTCTTGCCAGGAGGAGCAGCAGCTGCCCCCACCTCTCCCATAGCTGACCCCAACTGCTGGCGGTTAGCCCTCAAAACTGTGAGAAGTCAGCTCCTTGGAGATCACCCACACATACGGCATACAACCACACCAGGCAGCTCAGCTCGCTGTCCTGCAAGGGAGAGAGAGCCTGTGGTGAGAAAGACGGCTTTCCACACGCTGAGAAAAGACAGCTTTCCACAGCAGGATACAAACAGTCTGCAGACTGCTATCACCAGGTGCTTAAGAAAAGCTCCTTTTCCACTGGATGGTCACAACTGATATCCCTGATGACCAAAGAAGGCTAGATGGATGAGGACACATCCTTGCTTTGTGTCTCACGCTGTCACTGAGCTATGGCACTTCAGTTCCTGGGAAAAGGGAACAGAAGAGCCTTCCATGGCAGGGCGCTCCTTAGCCAGCACAGACTCAGCTTCCAATGCAACTCTCAGGCCCAGACAGGACTCAGTGGGAAGATGAGAGCCAGTTCTGCACCCCACTTTATTCCCCACACACAGGCGCCACTGTGGACGGCCCTCACTTAGGACAGCTTCCCTGAGTGGGAGAGGAGAGCAGGACAGCTGCCCAGCCCAGTTCTAAGGAGCAACCCCTTAGCTGCCTGGTGCCAGGGACGCACTCCTGAGGGAAGCCTGCTGCCTTCAGGGAAGCACTTTTGTCAAGTTAAGAAATATAGGCTGCTTAACTCAGCTGAGATGCGTGGAAGGGCAGGGTACCACCCAGCACACATCTCACAGGGCAGAAAGCTGAGGGGCAAGGCACTCAGGACACAAGCAAGAGCCTTGGCCCTTGGGGTGAAGCCCAGGCTGCAGCTGACCACACCATCTGGGCAGAGCCTTGAGTGTCAACACCCCACTGGCACAGGCCCAAGTACGCTTTTCATCTTACCAGGATCACTTCAAAGACCAGTGGGATCAGTTTGCTCTCTTCCACAAGTCTGTCAAAAAAAAAAAAAAAACAAAACAACCACTTATTAGAGAAAACATATATTTGAATCAGTGCCCTGATATAGCTCACGACACCCCCATGCTTAACTGCTGAAACTCTGGGCTCAGAAATAGCAGGATTAAATACTTGTTTTTAATACACTGAGCCACAGCTATTAACAAGAAATATGAGGCTTTTTCAAGAGCCACTGCTCGCTTTGCCTTACTGATCATCACCAAATGAAGTATCAAGTAGACTGGTATTTCTAATGTGCAAATTAATTAAAATTCACAGTTATTATAAAGACTATCAAAAAAAGGTAAAGCTAGCTGACATAATGAAGCCAGCCCTCACCACAGCTAAATTACACACATGCGACAAAGTAATTTTTTATATACGCCTCATTAGCTGTCTTCTCAGCATTAATGAATTCATCTCCAATAAATTTTAATGACTTTAATTTTTAAAAAATAAGATACCAATCTCCCATCTCCCAGGACATTCTAGGCATTCTTTTCTCATCAAATATAGTTATAAATTGTCATAGGTTATAACAGAATACTATTTTATGCAGTTTAAGGGAAAATAGCTTTGATAAAATCAAAACCATTCAAAAGTCAATCTTCGTTTTTTTAGTAAGAACAATCCCTGAACCTCTAAATACTTCTGCCCAAGCCTCAGCAGACTTTTTCTAGAAACAGGATGGACAGGAGCTGTCTGACATTCCACAGTCCTCCACGGCCGCCATTCAACTCTGCCATCACCCCCAAAGCAGCCCTAACTGAAATGGGCAGGCCTGGACCTGCAAAATTCGTATCTGTGGAAAAAACAGGCAGTGGCTGAGCTGTGGTAGCGCACCCCTGCTCAGTTCAGAAGACCCCAGTGCCTGTGTCTCCCTGTGGAAATCAACCTCAGATGTCACCCCCACATGCAGGGTTGTCACATGGCCTCGTGGGAGCTGCTCTGTGACCACACACAGCTGAAGAAACCAACACCTGCGCAACTCCCAGGCCCCGAACAGTCACAGCGCTTACAGACGGTGTTAAGGGAACTCGAGGCTGACAAGTACCGAAGAATAGACCAAGCACTTGGTCACCTTAGCGTCCAAAAGAACTAAACGTGCTACTCTTCGCTGCAGCACGGTTCAGTCAACCTACATGGCCTTTGGCAGACACACAGGACACGGAAAGTCACGCTGTCAGTTACAATAGCAGGGTGAATCCACACAGCGGTGCTCTAAATGAAGTGACCCTCACAAATGAAGAGTGTGTGATCCTCTACATGGGATCTGGAAGTGTCAAACTCAGGCAGAGGAGGAGGTGACCGGAACAGGACAGGGGAAAGGTAGCAGCAGTCAGAGGGTACGAAGTTCTGCCACATGGGAGGAGACAGTTCCTGTACCACTCAGCAGGCTGCTACAGCCAGCAATGTCCTGGATACGCCAAAACTCCTCGAGTGAAGCCTGGAATGTTCTCCTCACCAGGAGATGACACCAGGACCATGGTGATGAGAATGCGGACTGGCCTGGCTGAACCATCATGGGATCCATCTGTGCAATGCAGCACTCCACTGGGCCCTAAAGCATGATCCTCACTGATTAAAAATTAACCATAATTAAAATAAACTAATGATACAGTTGTAACAAACACAGCAAACGTATTACTTACCCAACCCCATGCTACAGGGAAAAGACTTTGACAACAGATGCTGAGTTTCAGTGCATCCTTCCAGATCCCTAGCACCGTGCTGGGGAGGACAGGTCGGCTCCCCAGCTTCTTGGGAGGTGGCCTGTCTTCTCCTGGTGTGGTCTTGCAAACCCTTTCTGGCCTGTACTCTCAGAAGTCCCAGAGAGAGGGGCCAGGCACCAGCGGCCCAGGGTTCCTGCAAGGACCTGACCCCTCTCTCATGGGCCAGAGTGCTCACTGCTGGGCCAGTAGAATCTCCCACACCCTAAAATGTATGGCCCAGGCCCCTGTGTTCTTCCAGATACAACCACATGTGACAACTTTTGTTCTCTTAATTGACTAATGTAACTTTGGGCATAACAGCCAAATAAAAAGCGAACTCAAGCTAAGTAAAACAATCTTAGCTTTAAAAACAGCCTCTGCTGTTTTCTACGGCCTACAAACTAACTTTTGGTCCAAAGCATGCGCAGGACTAGGTGGTTGCAAATCTTGTGCAACTCGATCTCTCAACACTGTGGGAAGCAAGCAGTGAGCACATGAAGAAGTGACCTCACTGAGCACTAATCAGCATTTTCAAATTACAAATAACCCTTGCCAGGGTGCCCTGAACAGGGCTGCTCCACGGATGCTGAGGGGGGCTGCAGAGTGTCCTTTACTGTTCCTAGTAAGTTTCAGAGGCTGCCGAGACGTGACAATGGGTCTCTCCATGTGGCCTCACCTGAGGCTATTAAAAAGCAGTGTCCATCCTCCAGTGTCCCCTTACCACCACCACGGTCCAGGCAGAGTCCCTCATCACAGAGCTCTGACCATTGAGGGCCTGAGGTCAGGTGACTAATTGGGCCTCTGGTTCCAACTGGACATGGGAGGAGCCTGGGCCACTCATCCCCAGGCTCGGGAACAGCAGCCCTACACCACACAGCCAGGAGGAGGTGGTGCGGGTATTACAGGCCACAGCTCTACTGCACTGAACATTGTACTGGTGACAATCAGGTCCCACTGGATGAGAAGACAGGGCTAGGCCACAGGTCCCCCCAGCAGGTGAGCCCCACTGGTCAGGTGTTAGGAGGGGGCATGGGTGCAGGCAGTCCCAGGCCTCTGGGGAGCTGCCCTGCAGCCACTGCTCCACCCACCACTGCCCTTCCCTGTGATGTCCTTGGAGCCAGCCATGCCTGACACTTCTCATATCCAAAGCTCAGCAGCCTCTGCTCCCTCCTGAGGTGGTGACAGACACTGCCTTCCGCCCCAGAGATGGGGACCTGACCACAGTCACCTTGGTGAAAATCGCCACTGCCACTCCACCAAAGGAACTTGGTAACACTGCATCCCAGCTCATGGTGTGAGGGCAGCCTGAAAGACAGGAGTGAAGGGGCCACCGAACACTTTCACACCAAGAGCAAAGAGCTTCCGAAAATTATCCCAAGATTTAGACTACAAAGATACTTCTAGTTGTATTTCTGTGTGTGCCAGACACTGGTGAGGCTGTGCTGCCCACACATGGCCCCTAGGACCACTCAGCCGGACAGCTGTTTCCTTCTTCACAATGCAACTGAAAATGGATCGAAGGTGGTTAAAGAACCTTCCTCACAGAGTTTTGTACCAGAAGGGTCAGTGGGATTCGTGCATCTAATACAGTTTCAATTTGAAATTTTAAAATAAACTTACAAGAGTATTTAGGGTACATTAGTTGGTCACTTTAACTCCCTCTGGTATCTAAAGTAAATGTTGCCCTTCAGTTTTTAGAAAACATATTGATGTTTGATAATCCAAAGTAGTATCTGAAAAAATATACCTAGTGTCATATACCTTTATGTTACTTAAACATGTATTTAAATAAACTATAATTATTTACCTGAGTTTATTTATTTTTGTCTTTGAGAAACAGTTTTACAATGCAGTCTAGGCTGACCTTGAACTTACTCTGTAGTCCTGGCTGGCCTTGAATTCAGAGCGATTCTCCTGCCTCAGCCTCCCAAGTGATGTGATTACAAGCATGTGCCACCACGCCTGGCCAGCCTAAGATTTATCTGCGGAAGCCATAAGCAAAACAAAGGCTGGGGCCCTGGAGGCGACCTCATCCCAGGCTGGTCACCTATGCACATGTGGCCCTACCTGCTGCCTCTCTGAGGGGTTGGGGCACTTGCTGCCAGTTTCTTTTCTTTTTTTTTTTTTTTTTTTTTTTTAATTTAAGAGGAAAAAGAGAAAAACACAAAACAAACCAAAGCGGCTTAAGGGTACACGCAATACAGAACTACAAAAACAAAACAAAACAAAACAAAACAAAACAAAAAAACATAACAGTAAGAAATCACCTGCTAGTAGATTACACACTATCTTCTTGAAAATAGTTCTTCAAATCACAGTATCAAAGAACACAAGGTGGACATTCAAACAGGGAGACTGCAAACAGCTGTGTTCAATGTTCCAAAAACATTGATAAAGTCAGCTATTTAACACCCCCAAACACACTTGCTGTTATATCCGTTAGAGCTCTTTTTCTTTTTTTTTTCCCCTCTCTTTTTTACAACAAAATTTACACATCTTGGATTTTATTACTCCTTAGTGCTTATTACTTTCTTTGGGGGGGGGGGGAGAATACAGTCAAATATGGCAAAACAAAGCTGTCAGTTAATACCAAGGATAGACATAGCACATGGTGTAGAACAGAGTACAAGTTTATCAACAATGGTTATCAACGTTGTCCCTTGTTTCCTTAAAAAGAATTGTCTATCTTATTAGATATTATAAAGTTGGACAAAACAGTAGAGAACAAGACCAATAAAACTTAGGCATTGTAAACATTACAGGACTTCCAAAGAAGACAATAGTCAAACCAGAATGAGTATCTTAGTGAATCTTATTGTCTTCAAAATAGTTGCCTATGTCTTCAAACTTGATACTATCATATAGAATGGAACAGAGTCTAATCAGTCAAAACAAGATCGTGGGAGTACTACAGGACTTCAAAACAAGTTAATAGGAAATCGAAAAGAGTTACTATTTATATATCCTAATTTTTTTGAATTTTTTCTTTAATTAAGACAAACATAAGAAATGACTAAATAATTTTTTTTAAACAATAAGGGGGAGATTGAGATAAAACAGGACATAACAATATAACAATAGAGGTCACAGCATGACTGTTTCAACAACCTAGTACTTCACCACCTTATAACCTGACTTAATAGTAGTTACGATAGTGTCTTTTTCCTTGAAATATTTGGATAAAACTTCATATACTCTAGCTTCAAATATTTTCATATCAAGAAGCCCAGAATAAAGCCTTTCTAATTAATGAGTGAAAACTTTATAAGGCTTCAAGGCCACC